AGGGAAAAAAAAATCAAGGCAGTTTGTAAAACCTTGCTGAAGAATTGAATAGTCTTCTAAGAATCTGGTGATTTTTGAATAGTATGGAGCTCTGTGCAACTGAATAGCAGATCTTATGTCATTTCACTATTTTTCCACACAAAGAGCTCATAACCCTTTAAAAAGTGACAATATATGACATAGAACAAGACAGCAGCTTGTCTGGTCAAATGGGATATATAGTGATAATAATTAGGTTGGAAAGTCTGAAAGGTAACAGACTTTTATTTGTGCTATTATATTTGGCAACTCTAGTACTGTACAGTTGATTTAAAAATATAGAACTGTGAATCATTTATGAATGGGGCAATGTGTCACTAAAACAGTGGACTTGACAAGTATGCCTCTGTAAGAAAGAGGTAATAAAGTGCATTCTTCAATACAGCAGTTCCTGAGACTCTTCCTGTTGTGTAGGAAAACTCGAATAATGCTCTTTTGATGTAAGTTCTGGAGTATATTGAATCAGGTTTTGCTGATGCAGTTTCGTGTTTTTTTGTGAAATTATTACTGCACAATAGATCAATGCTCACTTTATCCTCAACCAGAGTTAAGTGAATTCATAGTCAAACTGTTATATCATATTGTTTGAGGTCACAGTAGATTGACTGCATTAAAATATGATAAAGTTGTAGTAAGTAGCTAAAATAAATGGTGTGAATTAGAAAATATGTTTAAATCTTCTGAGCTGCTTTCTCTGGTTGCGTGTTAAGAAATAATGGAATATCTGTTCATCCTTGTAAAAATACATCTGCTCTGGCACTGATTCAATTGTGTTCCATTTGTGAAGTTTTCTGAAGAATGATTTGAAGATCAGAAATCTTTGAGTAAGAGCTGCTGTGTCTCACAGTTTCGATTGATACATTGCTCTCTAGATCGTTTGCAATGAGAAGAACTACTTTGAATTTTCAACATTTTCTTCTTTCTTGGCTCCATAATCCTTTGTAAGTCTGGTATAAATGAGCTAAAATCCAAATACCTGTAAATCCCACCTTCTATTAATTAAACAAAATTGAGTGATTCTATTCAAGTCAAAAAAGTGGACAGGCTAAGAGACCTCATTGTCACTCTGTTGTTATATTGAGGGATAAAGGGTCTAAAAAATGTCTCTTGTTCAGCAGAGTTATGCTTCTAGTGCTCTGTTGCTCTGCAGACCTTCCCTGCAGCTACAATCATGTCCCCCTGTGGACTGAGGAAGTAGGGAATTTTAGTAATGCAGGAAAATCATTATACCTCCTGGTTGGTCTAAGGAGCAAAGCTGTTATACAAACCCTGTTAACTTCAGGAGTAATCTATTCCAATAGTATTTTAATTCATTTATAATACAAAAGCAGGATAAACAGTATGCTAGTATAAATTAGAATTGGACCCAGTATGTCTAGATATACTTAAAACACAGTATTAAGGGGCTGTTGAAAGTGCCAAAATCTGGAGATTTAGATTAATACTTAAAATTTAATTATTAATCCTGAGTTCTATTTCTGTGTTGCAAGCAAGTCTTTTATAAATCTAGAGGGATTTATTTCCATTGCATCTCATTCTCATTTTTTAGATCCTCATTTACAGACATGTATCCTGTGCTACAGGCATTTCTAGCATATATATACACAGGGATTTAATGGGCTTCTGTAATAACAGTTTTTACCACATCAGCCTTTTCTGAAATTATACTTTTTTAGCATGCACTTGAGCTCACAGATTCTTGTCTCAGCCTATGTTTATTTACCATCACTTTCTCCTAGTTGCAATAATACCTGAGTTACAATTAAGCTGACATATGTACACTGTTCAAATGGACATACTTGGTGAAAGTCTGAGATTTTTTCTTGATGATATTCTTGTTAGGATGGAGCTAACTACTAGTTTGATTTACCTCTGTGTAACACAGTGATCAGTGTAGATTTATACTAATTCAGAATTTTTATACTTTATGTAGTGCTCATACATTAAAAAAAAAAAGAACCCATGAAGTACAAATTTAAAGCATCATTCCCTTGGGAGCAGTGGCTATAGAAAGTCTGCATTTTTCACAGAACTGTGGATGTCTGCTTCTTGCTTGTTCTGAGAATTTTGGGAAGCTGCTGGCAAAATGCAGGAATTTGAAAGAAGACTGAACTCCAACAGAAGAAGATGGTGGTGGTTTCAAATTAATATTTAGTGTTGTTTCAAATACAGCATTTTCTGTAGCCTTTTAGATTTTCAAGATTTCCAAGTGCATGTAGAAAAATTTCCACATAGTATTTTTAATCTCTTTGCTAAGAAAATGGAAAAAAAAAAGTCAGCAAGTCAAGTCTTGTTGAAAGAACTCAAAATAATCTTGACAAGTTGGAGACAAAGTCTGAAAAATATGTTGTTCTGTAGGAATAAGTGCAAGGTGCTACGTTTAATTTGGCATAAACAGTGAAAGACAACAGGATGGAGGATAATAGATCTGTTCTATAGAAAAGTTCTGGATCAAAAGCTGACAGAAGTTAGCAGTTTC